TTAAATAATATTTAAAGATATTTAAAAATATTTTTTTTAAAAAAAAATTCAAAATTTCAATAAAAATTAAAAATTTTAACCATAAATAGTGCAAAAGTTTTAATTTTGCTAATTATTTGAATATTTGTGTGAAAAATGTTCCATAAAGTGGCTCCCATAAATTTTGGTCTACTTTTGAGTTTCGAAACAATTATTTTTATTAATTTTTAAAGTAATTTAAATATTTAAATACACAAGTTTTAAATTTGCACAAAATTTGTTTATTATTTGCATTTTTTGTGAAAAATGTCTCATAAAGTGGCTCCCGTAATAAATGTAGAGAAACAAGTTTATTAAATGTGTTTTTAAAAATTAATATTATTTATACGGACTTAATTCGCCCGTACGTAAGTTATTCGCGCGTACGTAAGTCATTCGCCCGTACGTAAGTCGGGACTTGGGCAAAATTCGGGCGTTCCTTTTCAATTCGCGCGTACGTAAGTTCGGGACTTAGACAAAATTCATGTAAAAAAGCAACTTGCGTACGCGCGAATTCGTCCAATTCGGCCGTACGAACGTCGTGTTTTCTGGCGCGTTTTCAGGCCAAAACCGCCCGGGCGCCCAAAACGTTAAATTCGGCCGTACATAAGTTGGCGAACGTAAAAATAAAACAGATACATCCGATCAAAGGATAGTCTCAACAGATCGCAGTGTAATAACTGCTCTGCTGCGTACAACCCCCCTGACCAGTAGTCAAGTCGTATACAAGCGATCTTACACCCCGACAATCAACCACACAAAGTCGTATGGATTCAACAACAAGCCAGTAATTAAACCAACCTGCAAAGTCAAATATGGGGTAAAGGCTGCAAGCACCCGAAGTGCAAGCATAAACGTACCACCCGAAGCCGGGGCACAAAACATTGTTTACCTAACCAGACGGGCTTCTAACTTAGAGGCATTCAGTTATAATCCCGCAGATGGTAGCTTTCGGACCATCGTCCTATCGGACGAGCCCATAAACCAATTGTCTGAACCTGCTGTTCCTCTCGTACTAAGCAAGATTACTGTTGCAACAACTCTTTGACAGTAGGATAAAACTAACCTGTCTCACGACGGTCTAAACCCAGCTCACGTTCCCTATTAGTGGGTGAACAATCCAACGCTTTGCGCATTCTGCTACGCAATGATAGGAAGAGCCGACATCGAAGGATCAAAAAGCAACGTCGCTATGGACGCTTGGCTGCCACAAGCCAGTTATCCCTGTGGTAACTTTTCTGACACCTCTTGCTGTAAACTTTACAAATCGAAAGGATCGATAGGCCACGCTTTCGCGGTCTGTATTCGTACTGAAAATCAAGATCAAGTAAGCTTTTGTCCTTTTACTCTACGTAAGGTTTCCGTCCTTACTGAGCTTACCTTAGGACACCTACGTTACTGTTTGATAGATGTACCGCCCCAGTCAAACTCCCCGCCTGACAATGTCATCGGCGCGGGTCGCCAGCGCACCAAGTACGCTGACTTAAAATCAATCACAAGTTTTCGTAAGAAAACGTTCCCCGTATTACCGAATAAGTAAGGAAACGATGAAAGTAGTGGTATTTCACTGACGTACCGAAGCACTCCCACTTATGCTACACCATGCATGATTCTTCACAAAGTCAGACTAGAGTCAAGCTCAACAGGGTCTTCTTTCCCCGCTGTCTTTGCCAAGCCCGTTCCCTTGGCTGTGGTTTCGCTAGATAGTAGTTAGGGACAGTGGGAATCTCGTTAATCCATTCATACGCGTCACTAATTGGATGACGAGGCATTTGGCTACCTTAAGAGAGTCATAGTTACTCCCGCCGTTTACCCGCGCTTACTCAAATTTCCTTAAATTAACATTCAGAGCACTGGGCAGAAATCAGAGACAGTCAACGTCTTTCAGAGACCATCTGTCTCCTCTGTTTTAATTAGACAGTCGGATTCCCCATGTCCGTACCAGTTCTAGATTCGATTGTTAAGCGCTAGCCGAAGACTACGCACGCCGAAACGAACGCAATCGAAGTTGAAACGATCCACCTGCAGGCCACGCTACTAGCCCAAACAGCTCGCCGAAGCTCGCCATCCAGTCACGAACGCAGCCCGCAAGCATCACGTAACAACCCGACTAACCCAATCTCTAGAGCCAATTCTTTTCCCAAAGTTACGAATCTAATTTGCCGACTTCCCTTATCTACATTATTCCATCAACTAGAGGCTGCACACCTTGGAGACCTGCTGCGGATATTGGTACGATCATGCGAGAAATTCATTAAGCCTCCCTTGCCTTTTCAAGGACCACATAGAGTACACGAGACACCGCAGCAACCGCAGTGCTATACAGCCCCAGCAACCATATCTCCGGATGAACCGATTCCATGGTCATGAAAGCTTAAACTAGAAAAGAGATCTCTAGCTCGGACTCTAAGCAGTGTCAGCAAGTTCGTTTGCGTTACCGCGCTTCAACAACACCGAAGTGCCATCAATCTCCTCGTCATGACGTGGGAATATTAACCCACTTCCCTTTCGGCGAATGCAGCGCAATCCACAAGTGAATTTTAACGCCACAACTTCAAATCCAGCATTAGCCTGTGCCTTAGGATCGGTTAACCCACGTACAATCACTGTGCACGCGGAACCCTTCTCCACTTCAGTCTTCAAGGATCTCACTTGAATATTTGCTACTACAACCAAGATCTGCACTCATAACGGCTCCATTCGAGCTCACGCTCAACAACTTCAACGCCATTACGACGTACCTCCTACTCGTCGAGAGATTTCGCAATGCTCAACGACGGCAGAGTATAGGTCATTCGCTCGAGCGCCATCCATTTTCAGGGCTAGTTGATTCGGCAGGTGAGTTGTTACACACTCCTTAGCGGATTCCGACTTCCATGGCCACCGTCCTGCTGTCTATATCAACCAACACCTTTCATGGGGTCTCATGAGCGAATAGTTAGGCACCGTAACTCCGCGTTTGGTTCATCCCACATCGCCAGTTCTGCTTACCAAAAATGGCCCACTTGGAGCACAACAATCAAAGTCAATGTTCAATTAAGCAACACCAACATCATAACCATTTAGAGTTTGAGAATAGTCTGAGAATAATACATCCCAAGAACTCTAATCGTTCGCTTTACCGAGTATATCTGTTATATATGTGCACCAGCTATCCTGAGGGAAACTTCGGAGGAAACCAGCTACCAGATGGTTCGATTAGTCTTGCGCCCCTATACCAAAATCAGACGATCGATTTGCACGTCAGAACCGCTTCGGACTTCCACCAGAGTTTCCTCTGGCTTCGTCCTGTTCAGGCATAGTTCACCATCTTTCGGGTCTCATAGCATACGCTCAACCTCCGCAACAAGACAAGTCTTCGAAACGGGGCAACGTTGCTTGGGCCGCACGAATGCCGCACCCATTCACGTTAAAACTAGTAAAGTCTCACTTTCATTTCGCCTTTAGATTTTCGAATCCAATGACTCGCGCATACCATAAACTCCTTGGTCCGTGTTTCAAGACGGGTCGAATGGGTCACCGACTATACACCGAGAAGAACATAGAGCAAACCACCACGCCGATAGGCCCGAGAAGCGCCGCACACATGTGTACAACACGAACCGAACACATCGACGCAACGATATGCGAAAAACCCATGTCTCTACGAAGCTGCGCAGCGTCAACCAAACTCGACAAGCCCAGGGTTCCGGAGCCCGAAGGCCCGGTCCTCTAAACAAGGTTTGTTTAGCAACACCACACAACTCGGCGCACTCCGTACGCAAATGCACCAACGAACCGCCCAACAATAAACGAAGCACACATTGCTGAAATGCTAAACGCTCAATTGAACAGCCCGAAAGTTGAATACGCACTAGATACGTCGGCTCCATTCGCTTCCATTACAACGGTTTCACGTTCTCTTGCACTCTCTTTTCAAAGTACTTTTCAACTTTCCCTCACGGTACTTGTTTTCTATCGGTCTCACGGTCGTATTTAGCCTTAGGTGAAGTTTACCACCAACTTTGGGCTGCGTTTCCAAACAACCCGACTCCCAGAACCAACACTCACCAAGTCCAGCCAGCTATACCGGGGTAAAACCGTCTAAGCCGCCGCGTTCCAACGAGACTTAAACCAGCCAGGACATGGCGAACAAAAGCTCTATACGCTACACCGGTCATCAGCCAAAACCAACAACCTTTAGCGCTGGGCTAATCCCGTTTCACTCGCAGTTACTCAGGGAATCCATGTTTGTTTCTTTTCCACTGCTTACTGATATGCTTAAGTTCAGCAGGTAATCATACACAATTCAGGTAGTTTCAAGTAAAAACCCGTAGGCTGCCCGCCAAACGTTTTCGACACACGGCCAAAACGACACTACGCTACACTGAAGCCAGGTTTCCAAAAACATACAGACAACCTTTCGCGGCGACAATAAACATAACGTCACGCTTGACAGTTTAACAACGCTCCGAAAAACGTCTCACAGCCAACGATTTCCATGTTCCTCAACGGAACAACGATTATACAGTTTGCGGCAACTATACGGTCGCCGCAAACTCTATCCACAACACAACAGAACAAATTATTACACAAGATTCTGTTAGTTTGCAAGAAAATACCCTGAATCGTATATGCCCAAGAGCAAAGCCCAAGAGCGCAATATGCATTCAAAAACATGGTACTCATAATATCTGTAATTCGTACTTATTATCGCAATTCACTGCGTTTTTAATCGACCCGTGAGCCAAGTGATCCACCGTAGTAACTTATAATATAATTTCACAAGAAAATAAATTAAAAATGAATGTTTTGTCAGGGCGGCCACTCGGGCTCTTCAATCCTACGTTCGCAAACGAGTGCAAACAGCCGGCTAGCATCATACGCACGACACGGTAAAACGTCGGCTCAAACATAGCGCATAGAAACCCAGACCTCACCGTTAAAACGCTGTATTCGGCGTTGCGCATCCGAAAATACGCAACACCGCACGGCAGTCCACTATTCTGTTTCGGCACTGACTCCGTAGAACGACAATCGATACACAAAAAGAACAGCAAACATTGCCGTCATCGTTTTGAAAAACGAATAAATGAAACAAGAGATCGTTAATGATCCAGCCGAAGGTTCACCTACGGCTACCTTGTTACGACTTTTGCCCGGTTCAAGCCACTGCGATTAAACTAGTTCTCACCAAAGCCAATGCCGAAACATCAAACTCTAGCGATCCCTAGTTTTCTCGAAGTAACTCAGTCCCGGGCAGCGACGGGCGGTGTGTACAAAGGGCAGGGACGTAATCAATGCAAGTTAATGACTCACATTTACTTGGAATTCCTCGTTCATGAGAGAAAATTTCAACACTCAATTCCAGCCATAATAATATCTCAACTGTTTGCCAATTCCTGTCGGAAAAGGACAATCACGCTGTTACCACCATTGTAGCACGCGTGCGGCCCCGAACATCTAAGGGCATCACAGACCTGTTATTGCTCAATTTCTTGAGGTTGAAAACCACAAATTCCTTTAAGAAGTGATCACACGCAGCCGAAGCAACATGCGCACTATTTAATAGTTAAAGTCTCGTTCGTTATCGGAATAAACCAGACAAATCAATCCACGAACTAAGAACGGCCATGCACCACCATTTACCGAATCATGAAAGAGCTGTCAGTCTGTCAATCCTTACGATATACTGGCCGGGTGAGATTTCCCGTGTTGAGTCAAATTAAGCCGCAAGCTCCACTCCTGGTGGTGCCCTTCCGTCAATTCCTTTAAGTTTCAGCTTTGCAACCATACTTCCCCCGAAACCGAAAAACTTTCGTTTCCGGAAATCTCCCCGCTCATGAATGAAATCCACAAGCGGATCGACAGTTGGCATCGTTTACGGTCAGAACTAGAGCGGTATCTAATCGCCTTCGAACCTCTGACTTTCGTTCTTGATTAATGAAAACACTCTTGGCAAATGCCTTCGCTGTCGGTCGTCTCGCTACGGTCCACGAATTTCACCTCTCGCGCAGCGATACGAATGCCCCCGGCTGTTCCTGTTAACCATTGTTTTAGCCGACAAAACCAATAAAACTCAGCCAAAACCTTGTTCCATTATTCCATGCACCGGTATTCAGTCATAAGACTTGCTTTAAGCACTTGAGCCGTTCAAAGTAATCCTGCATGCATCACGACGCTACCGAAGCAACGCCGCAAAAACATACAAAATGCAAACATTGAGTACGCACTCAGAGAGTGGACCCATGTCTGCGTTGCAATCCAACTACGAACTTTTTAATCGCAACAATAATTCTATACATTACGAGAGCTGGAATTACCGCGGCTGCTGGCACCAGACTTGCCCTCTCGTAGATACTCGTTAAAATTTCTGGATTGTACTCATTCCAATAATCGATCCCATAGGGAACGATCTTGTTATTTCTCGTCACTACCTCATCGTTTTGATATTGGGTAATTTTCGCGCCTGCTGCTATCCTTAGACATGGTAGCCGTTTCTAAGGCTCCCTCTCCGGAGTCAAACCCTGATTCTCCGTTACCCGTCAACACCATGGTAGACCAATAAACTACCAACGATAGTTGATAAAGCAGATACTTGAAAGAAACTTCGCCGGTACAAGACCATGCGATATGCAGAATTATCCTGAGTTAGCAAACAGTACGAGACTGGTTTTGCTCCAATAATTGCACCCTAACCCGAAGGCCAAGGCTTGATGCATGTATTGGCTCCAGAATTACCGCAGTTATCCATATAGATACAAGAACTAGTAAATTATATCTGTTGTAATGAGCCGTTCGCAGTTTCGCTATATAATACTCCACTTAGACATGCATGGCTAAATCTTTGAAAGAAACATATCAGTTCAGCCAGGATCAACCAGATTACTATTTAAAATAGACACAAGTTGTCACGATGTAAATATAATACAGTTAAAACACGCTCGTCCATAACATCATATACGAAAAACGTATACTTGCATTGACTTCGAGTCGACATAAGCAGCACAAACTGCGTACACCACCTTCCGAAAAAACAGATGCGAATAGAAACGCGCTCTCTACGAACGTTTTCACGAACGCAGCGAGCCTTTGCAAGTCGGCGAGACGATTTCATTTCCTTCAATCGCGCTCTCCGCTTTCTTCTTCTTTCACGAAATGCGTAAAATCGGGGTTCCGCAGTAAGAATCTAAAACTATTGCAGCATATTATACTATAGTTTTGGGCTTCTTTTTGCTTCTAAAGAGTAAAAAAGATATTTAAATAATATTTAAAGATATTTAAAAATATTTTTTTTAAAAAAAAATTCAAAATTTCAATAAAAATTAAAAATTTTAACCATAAATAGTGCAAAAGTTTTAATTTTGCTAATTATTTGAATATTTGTGTGAAAAATGTTCCATAAAGTGGCTCCCATAAATTTTGGTCTACTTTTGAGTTTCGAAACAATTATTTTTATTAATTTTTAAAGTAATTTAAATATTTAAATACACAAGTTTTAAATTTGCACAAAATTTGTTTATTATTTGCATTTTTTGTGAAAAATGTCTCATAAAGTGGCTCCCGTAATAAATGTAGAGAAACAAGTTTATTAAATGTGTTTTTTAAAAATTAATATTATTTATACGGACTTAATTCGCCCGTACGTAAGTTATTCGCGCGTACGTAAGTCATTCGCCCGTACGTAAGTCGGGACTTGGGCAAAATTCGGGCGTTCCTTTTCAATTCGCGCGTACGTAAGTTCGGGACTTAGACAAAATTCATGTAAAAAAGCAACTTGCGTACGCGCGAATTCGTCCAATTCGGCCGTACGAACGTCGTGTTTTCTGGCGCGTTTTCAGGCCAAAACCGCCCGGGCGCCCAAAACGTTAAATTCGGCCGTACATAAGTTGGCGAACGTAAAAATAAAACAGATACATCCGATCAAAGGATAGTCTCAACAGATCGCAGTGTAATAACTGCTCTGCTGCGTACAACCCCCTGACCAGTAGTCAAGTCGTATACAAGCGATCTTACACCCCGACAATCAACCACACAAAGTCGTATGGATTCAACAACAAGCCAGTAATTAAACCAACCTGCAAAGTCAAATATGGGGTAAAGGCTGCAAGCACCCGAAGTGCAAGCATAAACGTACCACCCGAAGCCGGGGCACAAAACATTGTTTACCTAACCAGACGGGCTTCTAACTTAGAGGCATTCAGTTATAATCCCGCAGATGGTAGCTTTCGGACCATCGTCCTATCGGACGAGCCCATAAACCAATTGTCTGAACCTGCTGTTCCTCTCGTACTAAGCAAGATTACTGTTGCAACAACTCTTTGACAGTAGGATAAAACTAACCTGTCTCACGACGGTCTAAACCCAGCTCACGTTCCCTATTAGTGGGTGAACAATCCAACGCTTTGCGCATTCTGCTACGCAATGATAGGAAGAGCCGACATCGAAGGATCAAAAAGCAACGTCGCTATGGACGCTTGGCTGCCACAAGCCAGTTATCCCTGTGGTAACTTTTCTGACACCTCTTGCTGTAAACTTTACAAATCGAAAGGATCGATAGGCCACGCTTTCGCGGTCTGTATTCGTACTGAAAATCAAGATCAAGTAAGCTTTTGTCCTTTTACTCTACGTAAGGTTTCCGTCCTTACTGAGCTTACCTTAGGACACCTACGTTACTGTTTGATAGATGTACCGCCCCAGTCAAACTCCCCGCCTGACAATGTCATCGGCGCGGGT